CTGGGGACCTTTTGGAGCAGAACTGTGCTACCAGCCTTGAACAGCCTCCCTCTGGACTGTTGTATGAGGGAGAAATATACCTTTACCTTGTTTAAGCCACTGTTATTCAGGTCTCTATTATTCACAGCCAAACCTTTTCATAACTAATATAAGGTCACAGTAAGGAAGAGAAACACCAATGTTGCAATGTCCCCATTTTACAGAACAAGTCCCTGTTTTCTTGGAAACAGACCACCTGGCCCACAGTGGAGCTGCGGGAGGTTAGGCAGCTGAGTCACAGGCACAGGTGGTACTCGGTAAACGCTTCTCCGCTCAGGTGGAGCCTGAACGCGAGTCCTCATTACCTGCCACCTACAAGCAATCTGGTGCTGCAAAGCCATTCCGTCTGACAGCTCCTCTTAATGATGAGTTTCCTGTAAGCCAGCTCCTCACCAGGAATTAGAAAAACCAAATCAAAGCAGCCCCACCGAGCATGCCAGGCACTGACGAGTACCAGATCAAAGCCAGCCAGGCTGGCAAAACTTGGCTGCCTTCTTCCCTGAGCTCTTCTGAGAATGTGGGAAATGGCAAATGACGGTAATAGAGGAGAATCAAAACTTCATTAGCGGGTGGAGGGGAAATGAGCCCAAGCTAAATAACGCCCACCCGGAGACGCAGGAAAGGAAGAAGTAGGTTTTGGCAGAAACATACTGGGCAAGCACAGAAGGTGTTGTTGGACAGAGGAAGAAAAGAATTGTCAGCTCTTGAAGCATCTCCAACGTTGACCTAACCCTATTGGGTTTACAGGGCTGGGATTGGAACTCTACTGGGTCCCGCCCCTGGAATGCTGCCGCGACATTTTCTCACTTGAATTGTTATTTCACACATCAATAACTGTGGCAGGTGGACTCCTTCCCAATAGCAGCCGCCCCCGGCCCCAACTCTCCACTGGATTCTCCCCAAGTGGCTTCCAATGGTGCTGCCAAGGTACAATTTCTGGATTATTGATTTTCACTGCCCCCTCTCCATTAGCTCCAATAAGGGAGACAAGATACTGCTGGCCTGGTGGGAAGAAAAACAAGGAATTGAATGTCAGTTTCCAGAACTGGAGAAACAATGGTAACTATTACTACTATTTATTTATTGCCCACAATGCACTAGGCATTGTGCTGGGTAATTTATATCTTTAGTTTAGTGATAATGGCTCATATTTATGGAGTATTTACTATATGCCAGGCACTATGTTAAATACTTTTATAGGTATTAGCTCATTTAATCCCTCAACAACCCTAAGAGGTAGGAACTGTTCTTATCTCCATGTTATTGATAAGGAAATGAGGCATAACAATGAGGGAATTTCTCAAAGTCACATTGCTAAGAAGTGGCAAAAGCTAGGATTGACCCAATACAGAGCATTTTCTGCCTCCTGAAGGGTGAAAAGCATGAGCAAGCCCAGGATGGGCAGAAAGCTGAGAAACTAGCACATTTGCACATGCCCATCACCGGCTATCCCCTTGCTCAGCTCTAACTTTCTCCACAGAACCTGCCACTGTATTGTGAATTGTTCGTTGTCACAGTCCTGCACTTACACATCAGCTCCATGAAGGCAAAGATTTTTTTCTGTTTCTTCACTGCTATAGCCCCAACTCCTAGAACAGTGCTGAGCACACAGCAGATGCTCAGACAATGTGAGAGAAAGGAAGGACGAAGGGAGGGCTGGAGGGAGGGAGGGGAGAAGAGGTCAAGGGATGTTCAGTAGCATGGAGCGCTGCTGGGAGAAAAAGCAGCTGTGAGCACAGTATCATAGGAGAAAGAAGGCACAGGAAAGTAGGTTACAGAATAGGCCATGGGGCCAGGCTTGGGCGGGGTTACAAGGAAAACTTTGAAACAGAATTTGATTGGAAACAAAGGCCCACAAGACCACCTTGAAGATGATACAAAGAAATTGACAGTTAACCTTGGTCTGGGGAAGACAAAAGGGAGTGGTGGGGACAGCAGCAAACTGGAAAACCCATGTTCTTTTCAAGAGGGTCATGGGGGAAAGGGGTGGACACATTCGACTCCAACCAATTTTTGCCACATAGGAATGCAGCCTCCAAACCAGATTTTTGTGAAATAGTCCAACTTTTTATGTTGGTCTCAAATTACAAGTTGCTGTTGTTGTCATTGTTGTTAAATGCTATAGGAATGGGAGTACAGCCTGGTTGGACTAACCCTCCCATACATAATAATAAAATCTGGACAATGTATTTTAAAAATAACTACATGAAGGCTCTGGAGAGTAACCAGAAACAGATAGAAAGTAGAGAAGACTCTACCCTTAAAAGACAGGAATTAAATGTGGGAGATTTGCACATTTGTGGCTTTTTGCCCGAGAGCATTCACCAATCTGCAGGCAACCAGAGTGACACAAAGCTGCAGCCTTCATGGCTTAGGGGTCAAAGGAGAGAGTTCAGGGCTTGAAAAGCAGCCAGAAATTTAGGGAGTAAATCCTAGAAGAGAGGGAACTGCAGCTAGAATAAACCCCAAGATCTGTTTATAAAATGTGCCCAGATCCTTGGCTGACTACAGAACTACCCATTTTGAGGGAGGGAAACCCAGGGACTACAGCAAAAAAGCAGAAGCTAGAAACTAAAAGAACTGAGCAGAGTTTTCAGCACCTGCTGAACATAAGGGAGGCACAGTTTGGGGTATAAGCCCATCCAAATTAGCTGCCAACTAGAACAAAAGTCACTCTTTAGCGGAACACAACAGAATCCAGAATCTCTACAACACATCACATGTGACGTCCACTCGTCAATCATAAGTCACCAGGCAGGCAAAGAAGCAAGAGAATGTGATCTATCATCAGGAAAAAAAGCAGTTAATAGAAAATGATCCCAGGTGTTGAAATGATTTCAGACAAGAAATTAAGGCAGCGAATACAAACACGTTGGAGGATTTAAAGAAAATATGTGCACAATGAAGGAACAGTTGGAGAATCTCAGTAGAGATACAGAAACTGTAAAAAAATTTACCAAATATAGATTCTCAAGCTGAAAAGTACAATACCTGAGATGAAAAGCTGACTGGATGGATGTAACTTCAGGTTAGAGGCAGGAAGAGTCACTGAATTTAAAGATCAATAATAGAAATTATCCAACCTAAAGAATAGAAAGACAAAAGATTGAAAAAAAAAAAATGAACAGAACCTCGGAGACCCGTGGCCATGTGGCCTAAAACACATGTAATTGGAATCCTTGGAGAAGAGAACAGGGTGTATGGGCAGAAAAAATATTTGAAGAAATAATGGCCCAAAACTTTCCAAATTTGGTGAAAGACATCAACTTACAAGTCCAAGATCAGCATACCCCACATAAGATAAAGACAGTAAAACACCTAGGTAAGGTCCGGCCTGGTGGTATAGTGGTTAAGTTCGCACGCTCCACTTTGGCGGCCGGGGGTTTGCAGGTTCAGATCCCAGGCATGGACCTACACACCGCTCATCAAGCCATGCTGTGGCAGCGTCCCACATACAAAAAATACAGGAGGATTGGCACAGATGTTAGCTCAGGGACAATCTTCCTCACACACACACACAAAAAAACTACCCATAGGTACCTTATATACAATCAAATTGTGAAATTCAAATATAATGAGGAAATCTTGAAAGCAGCCAGAGAAAAACAACCTATTACCTACAGGAAAATAATGATGTGAATGATGGCTGACTTCTCACTCGTAATAATGAAGGGCACAAGAGGACAGAGAAACATCTTTATGATGTTAGAAGAAAAAAAATCTATCAACCCATAATTCTTTATCAAATGAAACTAGCCTTCAAAAATGAAAGCAAAATGAAGACATTTCAAATAAAGAAACACTGAGAGAATTCATCACCAGTAAACTTGTGCTATAAGAACTGCTATGGAAAGTTTTTCATGCTGAAGGGAAATGACAGCAAATGGTAATAACTCAAACCTACAGGAGGGAATGAAGATCACCAAAAATGGTATAATGTGTGTTCTAAACTGTCCTGTTGGCATTGTCTCATTAAAGATGCGAAAGAGCAGCCAGATGCGAGGAGACTGTGTGTGCAATCCATCAAACAGACAATAGAGGTTTAATCAGCTCTAATATCCGCCGCCCAGCGGTGAAAGCAGGGGCTTCTCGAGGACAGGTGGGAGGATTCTATGAGGGGCTTTTCCCCTCCCTTCACTTTCTGATCCCTGCAGACAAGCAGAGGTTTTGTAATCCAGGCCATGCTGCAGACTCGTCTGGCATGTCCCCAGCCCCTGAGCAGTGGAGGCGAGGCTGGCTCAGGAAGTTTCATGGACTCCTGCTGCCTGTGTGCCCACAAGCTGTTTGAAACTCTCCCAGGCCCAAGGCCACGCACTGTGAACAGGGACCCAGTAAGAGGCAAACTGCTTGCTCTAGATTGGAAAAGGCTGAAACAGTTCAGGAGACCTGAGTTCTTGTTTGGAATATTCCAGACTCCCCGAGATGGTTCTTCAGCCTCTCCATAAGCTAAAAAAATAAGTCAAAAGGAGAGAATGATTGAGAGTAGAAGAGTGGTCTCAGTCTTGCCTACCTTGCTCTGCCGTTGTGAGGTTCAGTCCTTCAACTGCTCATTGGAAATGTCTGAGGCTCTTTGAAAAACAAAGAATTATTATGAAGGAAAGTCTTTCCTTTACACACACTCCACTATTTTCAGGGTGTAAAAATCCAAAGGGAGGCTGGGTTAAGAACACTTGTGATTGGCGAGGATGTGGAGAAATTGGAACCCTCGTGCTTTGCTGGTGGGAATGTAAAATGGTGCAGCTGCCATGAAAAATAGTATGGCATTTCCTCAAAAAATTAAAAATAGAATTACCATCTGATCCAGCAATTCCACTTCTGGGTACATACCCCAAAGAATTGAAAGCAGGGACTCAAACATAGAGTTGTACATCTATGTTCATAGCAGCACTATTCACAATAGCCAAATGTTGGAAACAACCCAAGCGTCCATCAACAGATGAACGTACAAACAAAATGTGGTGTGTACATACAATGGAGCATTATTCAGCCTTAAAAAGGAAGGAAATTCTGACACATGCTACTGCATGGATGAAACGTGAAGACTTTTGCCAAGTGAAATAAGCCAGACACAAAAGGACAAATACTGTATGGTTCCACGGATGCGAGGCCCTAGAGTAATCAGACTCTTATAGGCAGAAGGTAGAATGGTGGTTTCCAGAGGCTGGGGGAGGGGTAAATGGGAATTTGTTGTTTCATGGGCACAGAGTTTCAGTTTGGGAAGATGAAAAAGTTCTGGAGATGGATGGAAGTGACGGTTACATGACAGTGTGAATGTACTTAATGCAGTGTACACGTAAGATGGTTAAAATGGTAAATTTTGTGTTATGCGTATTTTACCACAATAAAAAAACACTTAGGAGCCCCCAGGACACAGCGAATTTGTTAAACTGAGATTTCCCTGGGGTGTGGACTCCAGTGTCCCAGAGGTCAAGGGTAGCTGGACGTCATTCACAAGCCTTTAGGCAGCAGGGACAGTGGCTCTGCCCAGGGTCTAGAAAGCAGCAGAGGTGAAGGCAACCACATGCTGTCGTTTCCTCGGACCAGAGCTCTTCTCTCTCCCAGTGGTCTCCAATGTGCCCCTTCCTTCCCTCACCGTCTCCCCAGGACTGGGCACGTGTAGTAAGAATATTTATAAATACAGCCGCTTGCCAGGTGAGCTCATTGAATCCTCACGACCCTGTGAGGTCGGTACCGCTATTGCCTTCATTGTACAGATGAGGAAACTGAGGCACAGAAATGTCCAGTCCCTTGCCTGAGTTTTCACAAGTGGCTGGCGACAAGATGCAAAAAACAGGCCAGCTGGCTCTAGAGCCACATTCTCCATCATAACTCCTGTTGCCATCCTAAGACAAGCTGTGCCCCTCGCTTGGGAGTGAAGGGCCTTCCAAATGCAGGCGAGTCTTTCGTGGTTGACTTTTTGGGCTTTTTGTGAAGTCAGGCCTCATCTGAGAAGCCACTCACTACCAGGATGTGGACGCCGATGGCAGCTCCCTCGTATTGAATGCTTTCTGGGTCCCAGGCACCATCTACTTTAACCCTCACCTCTCTGCAGGCGAGCAGATGTTGCTGTTATTTCACAGATGAGGACATGGGGCTCAGAGTCATCAGCTAACTTGCCCGAGTCTACACCTGAGCTGGGATTAAAAGCCAGGTGTGGCTGACTTAGAATTGCTACCCCTAAAGTCAGAGATTCTCAACTGGGGCCCATTTTGCCCCCTGGGGACACTTGACAATATCTGGAGACATTTTTGGTTGTCTGGACGCAGGGTGTGCTACAGGCATCTGGTGGGTAGAGGTCAAGGATGCTCTAAACATCCTGCAGTGCACAGGGCAGCCCCACCACAGAGAATTATCCGGCTCAGAAGGCCCCGGGTGCCGAGGTTGAGGACCCTGCCTCAGCCCTAGGCTGTGAATAAAAGCAGTGCAGGGGATCTCTGTTTTAGGTTTTTATAAATTTCCCCGAAGTCTTAAAATACCCACCGTGGCACGTCATCCCTGGCTATCTCTGGGTGGTGAGAACGCCAGTGAGTTTTATTTTCTTCTTTTGGCAAAACTGCATTTTCTAAATTATCTTCGATGAATATGCATCAGTGTTGTAATCAAATAAGTTTCAGCTTTTTAAAGAAGCCCACTGGCTCCAAGTTGGAGAACCCTTCTAGATTGCCATTTCGTTATCTGATGCTGAGTTCCAGGAAGGGAGGCTAGGGTCAAGGTCTCGCTCTGCTGGTTCGTGGATGCTCACCCTCGGACTTCACCTCTCTGAACCTCTGTTTCCTCTCAGTGACGTAGAGATGATAACCTTTTCAGTCTGTGCCACGGTTGTCTGTCTGGATGCCTGACGGGAGGCTGGGCGCTGTAGAACTAAGCATTTCACACACATTGGCTCACTTCCACTCCACAAGAACCTGTGAGATTGGACACTGAACCTCAGGAAGGAGAAGTAGCTTGCCCAAGATCGTGCACACTGTGGGTGGTAAAACTGAGGCTCGAACCAAAAGATGCTTGCCTCCCGAAGGCCTGTTCTGGACTCGCATTCTGTGTAGCCCCGCTTCTGGGCTCCACACCAGCCAGCAAGTTAATGACCCAAGCAATGGCAGCTTCTGCTGTCCCTGCTCACAGAGGCGTTTGCAAAGACTGCCCTTGTAGGACAGTTGAAGCAGCATCCTTGAGCAGCATCCTTGAGCACCTTGGCCATCAGGAGCTGTGTCTTATCCGTCTCGCTCTATCCTTCCTGGCCCAAGGGATTTGGCATGAACCAGCTCAGTCATCAGCATCTGGATTGACTCAGGAAGCTGGCTTCCTTCACCCTCCCAGGCCGGGGATAGAGGTCAGGCTGGGTCAGACCAGCCTTCTGCAGAAGCAGAGTGGGGTCGGGCACAGCCTCCTGGAAAAGAGGAGAGAAGCCCATTGTGGGGCTCCGAGAAGGCAGGGTGGTTGTCCTCTGTCTTCCCTCCGCCTCTCTCTTGTGCAGATGTTACCCTGCCCTCCTCAGGCTGCGGGCAGAGCTCACGTGGGCACGAACGCACCTGGCGCTCCACCGCGTGCTACCAGCCAGCTCTAGGCCAGGACCCTATGAAGGCAGGTTTGCCAGAGTTAGCGGACGTTTTAGTCTTAAGTACATCCCATGCAATATCAGGGACATACTTATCCTTTAAAAATGATTCGTTGTTTATTTGAAGTTCAGATTTAACCGGGCATCCTGTATCTTATATGGCAACCCTGCAGGGGGAAAAGGGCCGAGAGCTGCAGCATCGGCCTTTACCATGACAACTCTATTCGGACTAGGCCACAGTGACCCCTTTGGTATCTGTGCTGGGATCTGAACCCTCTCTGATTCAGCCTCCACATCTTTTTTAAAGGCACATGGTTTTTTACTTCCTTTTCCAGCATAATATCCTCCCTTGGCTCCCCATTAGCCAAGGCTGAAGGCTAACCTCCCTCGCCAAGTCTGTTCTATGACTGCTGTGCCCGCAGGGCCTGGACACAGGGCGCCGTGAACACTGGCAGGACGAACAGATGCCCATCTGCAGGAGGATGGCCCAGCTGTGTGCAGCCTCGCTGCCTATCCCTCCCGCCCGCCCTCACACACCCTGCTGGGGCCACACCAAGCAGCTTGCCCTCTCCACCCCCACTGCCCCCAATTCCTACACATCCTTCAGATCTCAGCTCTCCTCTGACTTCCACCTGGGGGTTCCGCAGTAAAAAGTATGCCTAACCTTTCTGAGCATGCAGACTGTGCCCTCTGGCTCCGGGCACTCTGGCCTTGTTAATCCTCCCGACGCTGGGGGCGGCATGTGGTGGCAGTGCCGATTGCCTTTTCACACCCAGGAAGGGTGAAGCCAGAGTTCCAAGCCGTGACGTCTGGCTCCAGCCACACTTACAGCCCCACTTACTCACCTGTGTATGGAACTTTCCACCCTGGGCTCTGGTGCCTGTTTACTTGCCTGACCCCTCCCCTGCCCGTGTGCTCCATGAGGGTAAGGACAGGGTTTCACTCAGTTCCCACGACCATCCCATGAGTTGTAAGTACTATCGTTATCCTCATTTTACAGATGAAGAAACTGAGGCACAGAGAGGTTAGGTCAGTAGCTCAGGCCTCACAGCCAGTGGCAGAGCTGGGAGTCTAACCCCGAGATCCAGCCCGAGCCGCACTCTCAGCCTCTCCACCGAGCGTTTGATAAATACTCATGGGTGTGGTTGAGTGAATAAAGGAGCTTTCTAGTGGCTTAACGGGATCCTGAGAACAAACTCGTGAAATAGAGAGGGTCATTGTCAAAGTGAGGAAACTGAGGCACAGAAGCCCCCCTTCCACCACCACCACCAGATGGGCTCTGGAGTCAGAATGCACTCCACGTCTCTAAACTCCAGGACCAGCTGCATTCCTTCCCTTAAAATATCTGAGACTCAAAATACTTTATCTAATACTTTATTTATCCTGTTTGCTAACAATAAGCAATAAAACATAATAACAACAGTTAACACTACTGAGAGCGTGCTGTCTGCCTGGAGAGGGCTGATTGTTCCACACGCCCTCTGTTATACAACTTCTCATTTTTACCCTCATTTTATCAAGAATGTTCAAAACAGTGAAGCAGCTCTCCCAAGGCCCCTTGGCTTCTTGGTGGCAGAGCCGGGAGCAGAGCCAGGGCCCGTGCTTCTAACCACGCACCCACCACCCTGATCTCACCGTCCCTTGAAACAAGGGCTTCATCTATTAACAAGAGGTGTTGCAAACTTCTGCAAACAGAATTCTTACAGGCATTCCTCGTGAGGGGAGGGTGCCCCCTGTTTCCCTCTGTGCTACAGAGCAGACTTCCCCGGGGAGAGGCCACTTCCCACTCGGTCCCCAGAGACAGCCACATACCATCGGGACTGTGTTTTATACTGGAAGGATTCTAACAACACTAACTTACCCCTATTCATTCCACACTTTCCAAGGCAAGGGTTCAAGCAAACTGAAATAAAAGTTCCTTCACCACTTTTTTTATTAACTGATGGCCAGTGAGCGCTGGGTCTGGGCACACACGTGTTGTCGGGGCCAAGTCATGGCTCACAGACTAGTGCGGGGAGAGAGCACTGGGGGGGATGCACCAATGGTATCTGTGCAGGGAGATTTGGGAGCCCTCGAAAGGCACCCCATCCCACCTGGAGGAACAGGAAGTTAGCCTAAGATGAGGCATGAGGGATGAGTAGGAATCAGCCAGGAGAAGAGGGGTGAGGGAGAGGGAGGGGACAGAGGGACACTGTGGGCAAAGGTGAGGAGGTAAGCGTAAGGCAAGCCGATCTGAGGACTAAAAGCCCCTCAGCCACCCTGGACGGTGCAGTGGGGACGGTGCAAGCCTGGGCGGTCAGGGTGAGGACTTGACCCTGAGGCCAATGGGAAGCCCCGAAAGGCAGGTGCAGAGACACATTACTGCCGATCCAGTGCTCCCCTCCTTTCCCGGCCCCTGCAGCTGGATGGGGCCATGTGACTACTTCTGGCCAATAGGCTGTGAGCAGAAGTGAGACATGTCCATTCCAGGCTGAAGCATCTGAGACGCAGTGTGTGGGCCTGCAGGCCTCCTCCCAGCCATGGGGATCCTAGAGCTCCGTGCAGCTGAAACTGGAAGCTCTGGAGATCCGAGTCGCCATTCCGCAGGGGGCTTCCCTGGAGAAGCACTAGACCCAGCAGACTGTGTGGGCGAAAAGTCAACACCGGCTTCAGCCCTGAGGTGTTGAAGTCTGTTTACAGTAGCGAGTCTAGCCTGATAATCAGAAGGTGGGGAACACGACACATTTTGTCGCTCCGGGTTGGGGAGATGCTGTGGTTATAGAATTACAGAATCAATAGGTGGCAAATAAAAGTTGGATCAGAAATATTCAGGTTTGGAGTGAGCATCTGCAATGGTTCATGCCCACTGGGATTCGATTCCAGTGTCTGTTCCACAGGCTGAAATCTCCGTCTTGTACATGAGTAAGTGGTAGCACCAATAGAAGATTGAGGGGCTGGGCCATCCCCAAGGCAGCCTCGACTCAGCCCCGGTGGAGGAACAGATGGGAGGAACATCAGGGGCTGTGTTCCCACTGCCCTACCATTGCTGGACCACCAGCCCACTGGTCAGCCACTTTCTCCTCTGCCTCCTGGCACTAGGGTTTTTCCCAGGCTCCTTCACAGCTGGGGGGGGATGTGCCCCCGTCCTGGCCAGTGAGCCGCATGAGCAGGTCTCTCAAAGGCTGCTAGAACGTGGATCTTCTCAGATCAAAAGACCTAAGCTTACAAAGAGACAGCCTCTTGCCCATGGCCCTGCTTCCTCCCTAGAAGGAGTGAGGATATATGTCTGGAGCTGAGGCAACTGTCTTGTGACTGTGAGGACAAAACATGAACCCAGACAGGTGTCTGGGGAAGGCCTGGGTCCCTAGTGACACTCAGATGATATGAGGTGTCTTTGTACTTCTGCCCTCCAGACCTCTGGTTAAAAGAGCAAATATTCTCATCCTTTTAGCCACTGTTATCAGGGCGTTTGCCACTGGTAGCCTAACACACCATAAGAAATATGCTTTTCTCCTTTATGAACGCGATCAATCAACAGTGTAAATGGTTATCTCAGCCCAGGAGGATGGGTCCCACTGGTGACTCAAGAAAAAAGGCCAGTTGTCTCTGCAGGCTGGATGTCATACCCACCTCGAATATGTCTGGAATCTGAGAGACGGGGGAGCTGGAGCCAGGGTTTTTGCATCTCCTGGGTTTGGGATCTCGGCCACTGCTCCTGCAGGTCACGGGCTTTCAAGGTCTGTGTTAAAAGCTTCACAGCCCCACGCCTGTGTCTGAGGCCGATCGGACGCCAACTGCTCTTGCTTTTCACATCTCCTTGCTCGGCGTGCAGCCCCACAGCCATCTGTGAAGGGAGCTTGCAGGCTTAATCATTACCGACGCTTTATGCATCTGCGGGCGGCAGCCGAAGCCATGCCCGGGCTGCTGTGGCCTCCTACAGATGAATCCCTGCTCCCCCAGCCAATCAGCACCTCGATGGCTCGTCTTTCTGCATCACCAAACAGAACTCTGAGCCTGCCAGTGTTTCCTTAGTTTCTCATTATTTTGTCTCGCTGCACAGATAGTAATCTTAAATTCATAGAAGGTAAGAGTGGAAGGGACGTTAGGGGCAGTGGGCCCAGAGCATTCGGTTTACAGATGGGAAGACTGAGGCTCGGAGAGGAGGTGGAGTTGGCCCATGCTCATGCTGTGACTTAGAGACAAAGCCAGAACTAAAACCCAGGTCCCCACAGGTATAGAAAAATCTCTTAAACGTAAATCAGACATGCATACCTATATGCACAGGCACGTGTTATCATAAAGTTAAAGGATATTCCTTCTTGATTTTGAAATGAGATCACGAAGTGCTTGTGGTCAAGTGTACACACAAGTGTGCGTAAGAAACTTGACTCAAATTGGGTTGATTGTTTAAAGGGCTTGTGGCTTCACATAACTGAAAAGTCCAGAGACAGGCCCGACTGGACCCGGCAGGGGAGGAAATCTCTGGGTTCTCCATCTCCCGGCTCTGCCATCCTCCATGCCGGCTGGTGGACCAGGTCTCCCCATGAGGTGGCAGGACAGCCCTCAGCATCTCCAGGCTCACATCCAACCGCCTTTACAATCCCAGAGGGAAGAAAGTGCCACTAAAGACCCGGGGCTGACCCACCTCCGAACAGCTAACTGTGGCCGGGGGACACGGTGCTCAATGCCCCCCCCAACCACCTGAGCAGGAGTGGGCATGTCCTCCAAGAGCACTTGGTGCTATTATCAGAAGAAGAAGGGAAGGGGGGGTTCGCAAAACCTCGGATGCCCACCACAGTATGGAATGTGCATCTAGACCCCTTGCTTCCCCTATAGACCCCTGAAAAATGACACCCACATATGAATGAATGAATGAATGAATGAATGGTGTTTCGTAAACACCGAATTGCTGAACCATTAGTGCCGTGTGCTTATGCTATAAAGACCCTGAGGACTCTCTGGGACATCTCCATGTCCCCCCAACTCCCAGCCCAAGTTCTCTGCCAGATGTTGGAGAAGCCCATGAGCAGGAAAGGCAGGAAGCCACCTGTGTGGATTGTTCCAATGAATCAAGAGAGGCCCCTGCCCAGTGCTGGCCAAAAGCTTCTCCCCCAAGCACCCCCACTGTGACGAGACCCCTGGCTTTAGCAGCACAAAGGGGTATTGCCTAGGAGTTAAAAAGCACAGGTTTCTGAATCCAATAGACCTGGGTTCAAACCCCAGCTCTGTGCCTTATTAGCTGAGGGTCCTCCTGCCCATTCCTTCCCCTCTCTGAGGCTCAGTGTCTTTATCCTTAGGGTGGGCATAGTCATAGAACCCACCTCAGGGAGTAGTATGAGGGTCACGTGAAGGTATGGGAAGTCTTTGGCAGGTGCTTGGGACACTTCACGGGTGACCAGAGGGTACTCTTAACCCGTCAGCATGCAACATACTTGTCGGGAGCAGACCCACTGGGGACCAGGACACAGACATGCTTTAGTAATAGGGGAGCAGGGAAGGGGTCCAGGGTATGAGGAAAGCAAATCCGTGGGCCACCAGTTTATAAAGGACTTGTGCAAACAGTAACTCATGCCATCCTCCCCGCAATCCTGGGAGGCAGCTTCTGCTCTTGCTGCCTGTATGAGATGAGGAAAACCGAGGCTCAGAAAGTCTAAGTCATTTGCCCAATTTACACAGCTAGTAAGTGGCTCCAGGATCAGCGCTCTTTCCACCATCTTTATACATGGGACCGGAACCCAAGAACCTGCTCCCACTCATGGAGCCACACTCCTCCCGTGGAGAGGAGCCCTCCGGAATGCCCTGGAAGAGAGGGTCAGGAAAAGGATGGAGATACAGGTGTAGCGGATGCTGAGCTGCCTCCGTTCTGCCCTCCTCTTGCCCCTTAAGAGGGCTGCCATCTCCTGCTGTGACCTGGGCCACGTGACTAAGCCGCTCTGAGCACCCCCTCCCTCTCTGTAGGGTGGGGTAACACTGGTGCCTTCCTCTTGGCTGCTGTGGGGGTCCGTGAGACAGTGCACGTAGAGGGCTTCGCACAGAGCCAGGTGTGTGTCATGCGCTCGATAAATGTCAGCTGCTGTTCTCTTGTTTGTCTTGCCCAGGCCTGCCTGCCTCTTGTCACTTGTCACCCAGGTCACCGCCAACACCCGAGAGCTTCTGTTCTCCCGATATTTCTCTTTATCCCTTTACTGCCGGAACAGAGAGTGGCTGCGGAGGGGCTGTGGGAACGGAGTCTGTTAGGAGGCTCGCTTTCCTAGCTCCTTCTTTCCATTCCAAGGAGGATGGATGAAGACTCAAAGTGATTCCAACTGCCCTCCTTCCAGAAGCACCTCCTGGGCTCACTTTCTCCAAAGCGCTGTCACCAAGTAGTGCCCCTCAGAGGGGCCGTTCGTTGAGAACCAACCATGGCCTTCTGTGACTGCCCAGAGATGTCCTCCTGGGACCAGGGCCATGCTCCTGCTTATCCTAATTCAGCAGATAAGGTGTTGTTTACTTCTCTACCTTCCTTGGACTGGAGGTTCTGGAGGCCTGAAAATAAAGTATTTCTTGTCATTCCATTAGTATGGATTTCTCAGCTTGTATGGATTAAACCTCACTATGGATTTGACAGAAGCCAATTCAGTCAAATGTGAGTGAAATATATATACACCTATATTTCACTCAGATAGATAGATAGATAGATAGATAGATAAACAATATGGGGTCCAGACAGTGCATTATTATTCAGTGCTAAAAAGAAAAGAGCTATCAAGCTGTGAAAAGACATGGAGGAAACTTAAATGCATGTTACCAAGTGAAAGAAGCCAAAGGCTACATACTGTATGATTCCAACTACATGACATTCTGGAAAAGGCAAGACCATGGAGACGCAAAAAGGTTAGCAGGGGGAGAGAGGATGAATAGGAGGAGCATAGACGATTTTTAGGGCAGTAAAACTATTCTATGTGATACTACAATGGTGGATACATGTCATTACACACTTGTCAAAACCCATAGAATATAGACCACCAAGAGTCAATCCCAATGTAAACCGTGGACTCTGGGTGATGATGAGGTGTCAGTGTGGGTTCACTGATTGTAACAAATGTACCACTCTGGTGGGGGATGTTGATAGTGGGGGAGGCTGTGCATGTGTGGGGGCAGGGGGTATACGGGAAATCTCTGTACTTTCTGGTCAATTTTGCTATAAACCTAAAACTGCTCTAAAAAATAAAGTTTATTAATTAAAAAAAAATCAGGCCAGAAAAAAAAGAATATGGGGGACAAATAAAATGTGCTGTATACATCCATATAATATTACTCAGCCTTAAGCAGGAGGGAAATTCTGACACACGCTACAACATGTGTGAACCGTGAGGACGTTACACTAAGTGAAATATGCCAGTCACAAAGACAAACACTGGTTGATTCCACTTATACGATGCGCCTGGTGTAGGCAGACTCATAGAAAGTAGAATGGTGGTTGCCAGGGTCTGGGGTAGGGGGGAATGGGGAGTTATTGTTCAATAGGTACAAAGTTTCAGTTTTTCAAGATGAAGAAAGTTCTGGAGACGGATGGTGGTAATGGTTGCACAACAATATGAATGTATTTAATACCACTGAACAGTACTTAAAAATGGTTAAGATGGTAAATTGTATATTATGTGTATTCAACTACAATTAAAAATTTAAAGATAACTAAAATCCAATTACAAAAAAAGTGTTCATAGCAGCACTAGTCACAAAGCCCAACAGTGGAAAGAACCCAAGTGTTCACTGACAGATAAATAGATCAACAAAATGTGGCATATTCATACAATGGAATATTATTCAGCTAGGAAAAGGAACGAAGTACTGACACATGCTACAATGTGGGTGAAACTTGAAAACATTATGCCAAGTGCAGGACACAAAAAGTCACATATTGCATGATCACGTTTGTATGAAATATCCAGAGTAAGTAAATCCACAGAGACAGAAAGTAGATTGGTGCTTGCCTGGGGCTGGGGAGAGGTGAGAATCGGGAGTGATTGCTTAACGGCTTCGGGGTTTTCTTTTGGGCAGTGATGGAAATGTTTTAGAACTAGGTAGAAGCGGTGGTTGCACAAATTGTGAATGTACTAAACGCCACTGAATTGTATACTTTAAAACAGTTAGTATTATGTCACGGGAATTTTACCTCAAGTTTTTTAAAAAAGGAAGATTAAATTTAAAAAAACAGAAAAGAATATGGGTTGGCCCAAAAGACTAAAGAAAGCTAAAGAACCAAGTCTGGGGAAAGGCAGGGACCAGGCCGGCCCCAGGGTCTGGGAGCAGAACTGGGTGAGATTCTGGGCAAAGCTTCATCCTGCTGAATCAGCTTCAGCCATCTTCGGTCCTCGAGTCACAGTCCCAGACAAAGCTCGGTCCCATGCCCACCCTCGGCCAGGAGACGGCAAGAGGCCTTGATTGACGGTCTCTCCAAGCTGCACAAGAGAGATGGGGAAACTAATATTTTATTGCCAAAAGAAGGGCAACAGCAGCTGGGAAGACAAAAATATTTAAGGGAGTGAAGCTAGAGATGGGAGCTGAGGCAGGGATGGAGGTCACCCATCATCCTTCCCCCATCCTCTCTGAGGGGAGCCCATTGCTGTCTTAGTGCAACTGTGAATGCTTCCACCGTCCCCTCCATCAGAAAGGTGGCATGTGATCCAAGTCCACCCAATCCAAGTGCCCACCTGCCCTGCCACAGTGACTGGGGCATGGATGAGCACATGACCCGAAAAGGACCAATCCAATCCCTGCAGGAACTTGATGAAAAGAGCTCTCTTTCTGCAGCAGTGGCTAAGCTTGGCCTTCTGGAGGCCACCACCTCCCTTCTGCAGCTGGGGGTAGGGTCAGATCCATCTGAACCAAGCGGACCGAGAGTGAGGGAGGAGAGGTTCCCCCAAAGGAAATCGAGATGCTGTTTCGAGAAGAAGGGGGAATGCGGGCTAAGTTGGCCAAAACAGCAGGTGGTCATCACAGATATTATCATCAGGAGGTTCCGGGTACTGAGCTGACATACTGCCAAATATCAAGCCATTGGTTTCCCAGTGATCCCGAGTTACCCAGACCACTTACCACTCAGTTTCCAGCTTCCGGGAGGAGGGTCCAGGTCAGAAAGCGATTCAAGGACCCCAAATGAGGCATGGAGGGGTTGAATTCGCTCCCCAGTTTGGATGCAGAACTCAGATTATCTAAGTTTTATCTGCAACTCACAGCTCTCTTGCTGACACTAATTATTTTGTCAGGATGCTTCTTTGGTGCCTGGCTTTGCTTTCCCCCAGCAGCATCCCCGGGGCTTGGTTGTAAACAGAAGGTTGGATGCAGATGAGCCAGGAGCAGCAGAACCGCAGTGGTGACAAAACGGAAGCTGCTGTGCGAGGAACGCGGGATGAAGCTTGAGCGTCTCTCTGCTGGGACACCTCCGTCACCTGCTCACCTCTATCAGCACTTGTTGCAAATGACTTCATACCACCTGCGTGTCATCCATCCGCCCCACAACCTGCCCAGCCAGCTCTGCACCTGGTCCTGTCCATTCTCCCTCCTAAATCTTCTCGAACTCCATCCTTTCCTCACCCATCCTTTTCTCTGCCACCGGCTGTCTGACTGCAGCATCCCTCTCACCCATCTCCATCCTTCCACCCTTGCCATCTAGAAGCCATTGTTATTTCTTCAAGAAGCAGATCTGGCCCTGTTACCCAGTCTCCTCACCCATTAACATCCTTCAACAGCCCCCTGTAGCCCTCAGAATAAATTCCAGACTCTTGGCATGGCTGATAGAGGAACCTGCGTGATTTGGCCATGACCTAACCGTTCCACCCTTTCTGTCTCTCTCACAATGAGCCTCTTTGGGCTCCTCAGGTGCACCACGTTCTCTCACCTCTCTTGGGCCTTTGCATATGCTGTTCCCTGTGCCCACAACCCTTCTCTCACTTCCTTTACCTGCTTAAATCCCAGCCATCCTTCCATTCTCAGCAGAGAAACCATTGCCTGCAGAAATGTTAGTTTCCCCTCCTGCAGCCTCCCGTAGCACCCCACTCTGCACCAATCACGGGTAGATTGTAATTCTTTACTTGCTGTAAGACACACACACACACACACACACACACATACACACACACACACACGAGTAAGCACTTTATGGGAAGGACCTTGACTAACTTATTCACTGTCTCTCCTCAGCACGGTGCTTGGTACATAATAGGCACCCAGTAAACATTTGCTAAATGAAATGACTTTTCCAAATATTTATTATTTCTATTGACACTTTTTAGTTTTTATTGAGGCATAATGCACAGATAGAAGAGTATGCAAGTCATCAGTGTACCCCTTAGTGTACTTATTACAAAGTGAGCACATATGTGTAACCACAACCCAGCTAAAAATATAGAGCACTAAACGATCCCAAAGATCTACTATGCCTCCTGCCGATCATTCTCCCGCCCTCCTCTCCAAAGGTAACCATGTTATTGACTTCTCGGACAATTATTTTACCTGTTTTTGAACTTTATATTAAGAACTTCATATTTGTATTTGTACTTTTACATTAATTAACTTTATATTAATACAATAAAGTCTCTTTCATGTCTGGCTTCGTTCACTCAACGTTGTTTCTGAGATTTGCAAGTTGTTCATTCTTATTGTTGTATAGTATTTCATTGTGGAAATAGGCCACAATTTATTTACCCATTCTCCCGTTGATGGGCGTTGGATAATTTCTAGTTTGAGGATATTCATGTCTTTTGGTACACAGATGTCCACAATTCTGTTGAATATGTACTAAGAGAGGAAAGGTTGGGCCATATATACGTGAATGTTATCTTTAGTAGATACTGCCAAGCAGTTTTCAAAAGTTGTTTATGAGTATAGATTCCCTACGGCACGGATGAGAGTTCCAGTTGCTTACCATCCTTGCCCACACTTAGTGTTGCTGGTCCTGTTAATTTAGCCATTCTGTGGATGTGTGGTAGTATCTCATTGCAAATTTAGTTTGCATTTCCCTGATGGTCAATGAAGTTGAGTAGAGTTCATTGGATACCCTCTTTGTGATGAGTTTGTTTAGATTCTTGCCATTTTCTGTTGGCTTTTTTTTGTCTTCTTATTGATCTGTGGGAATATTGTGAATCATATTGTGAATATGACCCTTTTTTCAGTAATTGGTGTTGCAAACATCTCTCTCATTCTCTGACTTGTCTCCTCACTTTCTTAATGTGTCTTTGATGAACAAAAGTTCTTAATATTAATGTAACCCAATTTATAGATCTTCCATTTATAGTTAATGCTATTTGTGCCCTACCCCAAGAAATCTTTCCTTAACCGAAAGTCGTGAAGATATTCTCCTATGTTATCTTCTAGAAGCTTTAATACCTCCATGTTTAGATTTAAAATCTACCTGGAACTGATTATTTCTAGTTAGGAGTCAAGTTTTATTATTTTCCTCTATGGATATCTGATTGACCCAGCAATATTTATTGAAAAGACCATCCTTTCCCCACTATTTTGAAAGGCCACCTTTGTCATAATTCACACAACATTAATTTATAGGTCTGTTTCCAGAACTTTCTATTCTTTTCCATTTGCCTATTTGTCTGTCCTTGTACCAATAGCACACTGTCTTGATTGCTATAACTTGTTAACAAGTCTTAATATCTAGTAGCAAAAACTCTCCACCTTTGTTCTTCTTCAAGATTGTCTTCGTTGTTCCTGGACATTTACATTTTCATATAAATTGAAGAATCAGCTCATCAACGTCCACAGACACAAAAGAAACCTGTCAAGATTGTGAGGGATGCATTGTACCTATAGATTAACTTGAGGATAACTGACTTCTTTACACTATTGAACCTTCCAATTCACAAATACGCTATAGCTCTCCATTTATTTGTGTCTTTTAATATTTCTGTCCCTAATATTTTATAGTTTTCTGCATAGACTCTTACAGATCTTTCATTAGATTAATTCCTAGGTATTTGATTTTTGATACTGTTATAAATACAGTCATGCATCATTTAACGACGGGGACACATTCTGAGAAACGTGTCGTTAGGCGATTTCCTTGTTGTGTGAACATCACAGAGTGTACTTACACAAACCGAAATGGCATAGCCTACTAGACACCTAGGCCATATGGTACTAATCTTACAGGACCACCGTGGTCTATGCAGCGCATCGTTGAACAAAACGTCATTACGCAGTGCACGACCATAGTGTTGTTTTTTGAACTTCATTCTACAGTTGTTTCTCGTTGTTACATAGAAATGCCGTCATGAGATTGTTGGTTATGTGGGATGGCCCATTTACCAGTGATTCTAGCTTCAATTAGAAACACTCCTTTGAAGAATGGAGCATCCTCACTAGCACCCCTGCTGCCTGCCCCCTGAGACTGAACAG